AAATGAACAAGACCATTCAATTTAACACGAAATACCAATTTCCTTATGGAAGGTATTTAATTCCTACACGGAAAAACCAAGTAAGCGCGGATGTAATAGTTGGTCTGTAGGACCAGTTTTATCCGTTCAGAATTTAGGTGATTTTTTAGGGTAGGAGTCACACTCCCCCACTGTCGAAGGAAAAAGGCAAATAGAACCGTCCTTCTTCGTCTTTCGAGTTTTTTTCACCTAGTAGAAAAAAAATTTCATTATTTCATTTCATTATTTCTACGAAAACTGTAATAAACAAAAAAAAATCATTTAAAATATTTGTTTGTATGCTACATTTTATCAAACACAAACTCAACTTTTTGCTTAAAAAAAAACCGATCCTAGTAAAATTATAGCATCCCAAGTAATTTTAATTTAAAATAAAACAAATGCAAACGTTTTCTTCGCGAAATTTAATAAAAACTTAATAAAATTTCTAATTAAATATTTTCTTTTAATTTTCTTTTTATTTTCTTTTAAATTTTTTTTAGTATAAAAAAACAATTTGCTTTTAGAAATGGGAATAACAATTTAGAACTATACACCTTTTTCTTTTTCAGCAGACTTTTTTCTTTTTTCCCTTGATAAGTTTTTATAAAATTGTATTCTTTTTTTAACACTTATTATTCAATATTATATAATTTTTTATTTTAAACCGCACTAATTTTGTAAACTAAATAAAAAATATATTTACTTTTTATATAGCGGCGCCTAATTTTCTAATAAAAAAAAAGAACAACATTTGGCATTTAATGTTGATTTCAGTTTGACAATGCTCGGAGCAAAAATAGACACCTGAAATTTGGGTTCAGTATGTTTTTTTTTCAAGATACGATTTTTTAGTAATTGTAAATAAGATATAAACAAAGATGCTCCTTGCTTTAGTATTTTTAATTCGTTTATTGGGACTTGTTAGATATCAACGAATTAAAAATATTAAAGGAACGAAATTTCTTATAACTTCCCTTCTGAAAAAGATGAAGGGTTCAAATGAATATATTAGAAATCCCTGTATCGGAAACAATAGAGTTTTGATAACTAGTTTTAATCAAAAATTTTACTCATTTTTGATGCCCTAAACAATGATATATAATATTTTGCTCTTTACTTTATTTTAAATTTTAGACTATATAAATTTTAAATATATTTCTTTTCATTTTCTTAGTGAAAAACAATAAAGATATTTATGAAATAAAAAAAAATTATGCACACTAAAATAAATTTTGAACCTCCCCATAAGAAAAAAAAAAATACCTCAATGTGCTAGGTGCCAAAACTACGGTCACACATTTAAATTTTGCAACAGAGAACCGAGATGCGTGAAGTGCGCATTGGACAAATGTGCGAGAACATAGAGGGATGATAATGTCAAATGTACACATTGTGCTGGAAATCACCCTGCAAATTACAAAGAATGTAAACACTACAAAATGCTGTAAAGAAAGAAATTTCCAGCGCTCACGGCCAAGCAAATAATTACCAAAAGGGGTAACAACTTGAATCCTGCCTCATCAAGTCACACCATTATCACATCACATCACATTAAAATGGTTGGTACCAATCAAAAAAATATCATTCAACAGGTCCCTAGTCAACAACAACATAATGGAAAATTAAACATTAATAATACTCGGGAGCTGGAGATACTGGCAAAAAGATTAAGTGAACAAATGGAACCATTAATAATAAAATCACTCGCTTTAACAATGGCTAAGTTTCTAAAACTGACACTGTGGAATGCCATCGGCCTTCGCAGCATACACAAGAACTAAAAGGTCAAAGTATAGTAAAAAATATATAACTATAATAAAAAATCTTCAAAAGTGTATCGACATATTAGCAACCATTGAAAAAATAATCAAGAAACAAACGAAATATAGTAAACCATGGATTGATACAGACTGTCAAAATTTAATAAAAATAAAAAATTATTGGCATAAAAAGCATATACAGGACAACAACAATATTTACTTTAAAGAAAAATATAAATATTGGTTAAATAAATTAACCACAGAAAAAAGAAAAAAACAGCGTGAATACGATAAAAGGAAATTTTTGGAATGTGGTAATAATCCAAAAAAAATTTGGGATTTTGTTAAAAATTTTGCTTCTGACAATGTAAAATGAGAAAATGAAAGCGATTTTTTCCATGACACGAATCATTGTTAAACGACAAAATAATTCAAATCAATGAATGTAATAAATTTTTTTCCAATATTTGGAGCAAAGTAGCTAAGCAAAACTGCAACTCCATCTATTATCCACAAATAAGAACAAACAAAAGACTTAAATTCAAAGAAATTAGTAATGAAAAAACTTTGAAACTATTAAATAAAATTAAAACAAAAAAGACTGTGGATGCAAATGGAATATGTTCAGATACTGTGTAAAAAGATGTAGATATTGTGATAAACAGTGTAAAAAGGAACTAATCGAACCACTAACGTCATTAATAAATGCCTTAATAAATGAACACAAAATGCCAGACGTACTCAAAACAGCCAGAGTAGTACCCATCTATAAAAATAAGGCTCAAAAAACCGATTTCAATAATTTTAGACCTATATCTATTCCATCTGTCTTTAGCAAAATAATTGAAACATATATTAACGAGCAAGTAGTAAGAGTACCTCCAAGAAATCCAACTATTGTGCAAATTTCAGTATGGTTTTGCAAAAAAATCAAGCACAAACGCGGCACTATTTGATGTGGTAACACGAATTCAAAAAAATATCATCAAATCAAAAAAGGTTGGTTTCATATTTTTTGACCTAACAAAAGCATTTGATGCAATAGATAGGAAAATATTGTTAAAAATACTGTATGAGCTTGGAATAATGGGTCGAGAAGATCAGATGCGACCTGGAAGAGAAAAGGTACTGTTCCGCAGTCTTCCCCGACACATCACAAGCGTTCAAGAAGGTCTAGTACGAGGGACTGTAGTATAAGCTGAAGACAATACTGTCTTACCGTTTCCTTTTAATACTAAAATTATATATCATCGACAGACAATTCAGAATGAGACAGCGTTCAGAATATTCAAAACTCCAGTATGCAAACTCAGCTGTACCACAGGGCAGTGTACTCAAACCCATATTATACCTTCTATTCACAGCGGATTTACCAACCAACGAAGAAGCGATGAAAGCAACTTTTGCAGATGATACAACTGTCTTAATGTCGATTACAGATCCCGTCATTGCATAACAAATGCTGCAAAAACATTAATATGTCATCCAATATTGGTTAAAATAAAGTTGGGTCAAACCAATGGTTTGTATTGTAGCACTTTTCCCTTACCTACTACTATTAAAATTAGGATGAACGATTTATACAGTCTTTGAAATTAATATAAAGAGGGGTCAACATAATGCTCAATTTTAAGGGTTAATTGCGTTAGTTAAGAAAAGTAAATATATTTTTTAATGTCATGGAATTTACCGTTAGCTTTTTGCGTTTACAAAAATTTTGAAAAACCTTTGGTTCCAGAAATATAAGGCGTCAAAAATTCAAATTTTACAAATTTCAAGAGGTGATAACTTGAGAGGGGGTGGAGGTGGAAAAAAATTTTCTTCTAATGGAATGAGCTATTTGTTAGTGCCTAAAAGTTACTAAAAACAACATCAAAATTTGAAAAAAAAACGGATTTTATATAACGGTAAATTTTAACGGCCATTTTGTTTTTTTCAAGTTTAAGTATAGTATCCCGTGATAGAAGAAGCAACCCACTGCTTTTCTGCGTTTACAAAATTTGCAAAATGCATATGGTTCTACTACAGTAAATAGTTGAAAAATGGTATTTTTAGGGATTTAATGAAAGTATAACTTTTAGAGGGAGGGAGATAGGTTAAAAATTATTTTCTACGAAAATTAGTTCTAGTAAAGATCTATGAGCTTATAAAATTTCAGGTTTTTATCTTCAAGGGTGTAGAAGTTTTGTAAACAGACATGGACAGACGACGGACACAGTGAAACTAATAAGCACTTTTTTCAAAATTTTTTTGGAAAGGTGCTGAAAATCGAGAATAAATGTCATCAAATGAGTCAAAATCGCTACACGTTACATTTACTAACAGGAGTCGGACATGTCCTCCAGTGAGTAAATCTAAATAACATCACCCTACCACAGAAGAAAACGACCAATTATTTGGGTCTACATCTTGATAGAAGACTAACATGGAAAACCCACATAATAAACAAAAATAAACAGTAAAGATGTAACTACAACAAAATGTACTGGCGGCTACTGGGGCGAAGCTCTCAATTATCGTAATTTACAAATATCTCTATATTCTGTAAAAGAAACTGCATAAATTGCAAGTAAAAAATATCTGGAAAGAAGCAAACACTCAAATCAACAGGCAAGGAACGTACTCTAATTAAACTACACAAGCAGACTCAAGCGCTGGCATCCTCTTGATTTGCAAAATAGATATCTACTTCAACAGTAACGACATATATACATCAGTAGCTGGAGCTCAAACACAACGCAATATGGAGAACGGGAACGGACTATTCCACTGGGAAAGCCTTTTAGAAGTCACTTAAAGAAAATCTATCAGAACATCTACTAAATGTCCGAATCTTGCTTTTCGTGGGGATAGATTGCAGATTTAAATAGGAAAATAAAAAAAAATTTAGTGAATTTTGCTTTTCTTTATCGCTGTGAAGAAATAAAAATAGGATACAAATTTTTCTTTATAGAGTTTTAACGTAGTAGATACTTTTACAAACTTAGTTGTCTCAGTAAAAAATTGAGAGCTTCGTCTTGTAATCATATTCTTTTTTCACCAAAAGATTTTTGACAAGTTGAATTAATTTTAATTTATAACGAGTTTGATGTTGTCAAAAAGGCACTCTGTTGTAATAGAGTTATATAGTTATGTTTTAATTGTGTTATTTTAAATTTAATTTCGAGGCTTATTATTTGATGTAATTCACTGAGTTTTTTTTTAACTTTTGTTTCGCGGAAGAGAAATTTATATAATTTGTGGTGTTGCCAAAAAAATATGTATTAGTATCAAGTTAGCAACGCAGTTACTTGAGCAACTAACAAAAATACTTTGACATTTAATCAAGTGATATTATGTCAAGGATATTTATTGAAAAATAATAAGGCAAGCTAATTTTAAAATAATATGATTACAAAATAGGTCATTTTATAAGTAGATTAAATAAAACTACCACAAAAATCAACAACGGCAATACTATGAACAGGTTTATCTTAAGTTAGGGCGTGTTGTTTGTTTTTTAAAAAAAATTAAGGAATTAAGAAATTAAAACGAGCTAATTATTGCAATGATTCATTTGTTTTACATAATTTTACTTTCCATAATTTGGAATCTTGATGTCAGTAAGTAAATCATATTTTTTTGGGAAGCATTAAAATTAAATGTTTGTGTGCAGCTTTTGGCATATGGTGCTACAGATGCACTTCGGCTATCCCAGGATGTGGTGAAAATTTCAATTGGAGGGGGATTGGATATTTAGGCGATCAATGTCCCTATGACCAAGATATATGCGTTAAAGTAATAGAGAAAAAAGGAGGTAACTTGATATTTTTTGTATATGTAATTATTGACAATAATGATTCATAAAAAAGTAAATATTTACGTTTCGTTCAGCACAAGTATCTTATACAAGGGACTGTCTTAGTTCACTGAATTTTCGGACTGACATTCCATCGGATCAATATGAAGGATGTCGACCAGCTGTTCGAGACGTTCGACTTGCTAACTATGTTAATCATACAATAAAAGAACACGATGTCAAAAGAGATTACTACAACCATGTGGAATTTTGTTTTTGCTTTTTAGATCATCGTTGCAATAATGCTAATATTTTTAGATCCTGGAGTACAGTTTATTTAGTACTATTCTTTATCGTTTCGCGAAAGATATTCTAATATTATAATAAGATAAGTTATTAAAATAAAAACCGTCCATTAATTTTAATAAAAATCTCATAAAAACTATGCGATGGTTCATTCTTTTGTAAAACAAATGCTTTTGCAAACGTTAAGTTATATAAAAACGATAGTTTTAAAAAATTTTTTATAAATGCAATACTGCAACACAACTGCAAGAACAATGTGGTGGTTGACGTATATGCGATACATGCATTTTCAACTACATATTCTATAAAATCAAATCAGTTCATATAACTTAACTACTGCTTTTACTAATCTCGCTATATTGGGGAAGTTTAGTTCAGCAACAGTTTTTTATGAACATCAATATAGCGCAGGTTTTACAATATAGGATGCCCGCGACTCTACTATATTCCTGTAGTAACGTGATAGAATGCCTCTAGTCTAGATGAAAAAGAAACACCTAGTGACATTCTGCCCTAAACATCCTTTATATTTTATTGATAACCTTTATATTTTTATTGATAATTCTGAAAAAGTATCAGATAAAGGCAATTTTTAGAAGGTGGTTTTATCATGAGAACTGGTACTCATTTAGAAGCTTGTGAAATTCCACTTCTAACTGCATACAATTGTTGTCGAACTTGGAAAGTTTTTGTTAAGGTAAACAGAATTTTCAAAAAAAAATCAATTTTTATGGTACTATCTTCTCATTTCTGCAAAAACAAAAATCGAATTGTATAGTAAGGGGGTTTTCGTAAGGGAGTTAGAACCAAAATTTTTTAAGTCACAGCGTTAAACAGTATGCAAATAACAGAAATTACATTGTTTATGAAATTGTATCCCAATAATTTTCACCGTTCAATTCATTGCAAAATAAGGAAATTTTAAGATTTGAAGGCTTATAATTAACGTACCTTAATAACCCTTCAATATTTGACTCTGCCGTTTTGAAATTTAAAATTTTTTCAAATTTTAAATTTAGGAAAAAATTTTTAAGAGGCAGCTACAAAATTTATACTAGAGGTCTGCGCTACATTTCTAAGATTTTTTGATTGCAGATTGAATCCGAACGCACTAATCTTAATCGCAGCCAGTAGTTTCCGAACGGTCTATATTGTCATTGTACTATGTAGCGTGAATTTTCGAACGTGCTACAAGCTTCAACTATTCTAGATAGCTACAACTATTCTAGCACTCTATCACCGTTTCGGAATTGCCATCGAGTTTTGGACACCACGCGGCTTACTGGGCATATGAAAAGTTCTTATATTATATCAATTAGTAAAAACTAATAAAAATTAAATTCAAATCTGTTTACTTTAGTTTTATTTTTTGTTTTTTTCGATTTATGAACTTTCCATTTTTATTAAATTAATAATTTTACTCATTTAATAAGCAATTCTCTTGTCTGCACAAAATCCTAATTTATCGAGAGCTGGAGTACATGCAAAATTAATCATAGGTGGCGGCCCACACATTAACACTAATGGATCATCTGATGCTGGAAATAAATGTTTTAGCACCATTTCTTCGTTTATAAAGCCGGTACTGAATTCCCAACCTAAAATTTTTATTTAAAATAAAGTATGTACTTAGCTACATTTGTATTTATAATTTCTTTAATTATAATTTTGTAAGGAAAATTAAATGAAAATTCTTATTGTGAAATAAAAAATATAATAAAAAGTTATGTAAAATATAGACCATCTGCATGGTAATCGAAACCGTATTTAATTATTTACCTGAAGTTTGAGTTTATGAAGTGATGACATCCAAGTTTAATAATTAATAGTAATTTTACAGAAAAATTGTATAAAGCTATAAGAAATTATTGTTATGGTTCCCCCATTATAAATAAATTGCTTAAACTAAAGATTTTTGCCAAAATATCGGAGAATTGCGAATTAAAGATATTTTGGGACATTCACTATTATGTCTTGCAGATATTTTAGATAAATTTAATATTACAACTATTTTCTACTTTTGAATTTGTTATTAAAATATTCTTATTAAAAAGAAAATCTCTGATCTGCATTAAAGCCTAGTCTGTCAAGACCAGGAATGCATGTATAATTTACCATGGGCGGTGGTCCGCATAACAAAACTAGAACATCATCACCCGGTTCAAATAAATATTTTTTCATAATTTCGTCGTTAACATATCCTGAACTATACTTCCATCCTTTATAGTAAGCGTTCAAAATAGAAATTTTTTATTTACAAAAACGAGATATGAAATTGTTATTCAATGATGGTAATAAAGACGAAAACCTGCTTTTAGTCTTTATTAGAAACGTACCTTCTGCAGCTCGATCAACTGTGTACCAAACTTTGAACTGGGTTGGATGATCTTCAGCTAACTGATCAAGTTCTTTTCTTAACAGAATGTCTCTTTCTGTCTGAAATTTATTAATTTTTTAGCAATACATTATTTATATACAATCAAACCATACTTGATTAGCAAACAATAAAGCTAATTCGGTTTTGTCTTTTTTACATTTTTTCAAAATTTCACGTATAAGTTGCAACATTGGTGTGATTCCCGTTCCTCCAGCTATCATGTTCACCTTGTTAGTAGTAACTATTTTTGCTGGATCTTTACGTAATTTTTTTATTGAAAATTTTCCTACCGAGTATATTTACACATATAATATCTTAAAAATTTTGTAAAATTTAATTTACATACATATGTATATATATAACTCAAGAAAATTTAAATTTATCAAATTTATTTTTGTGCATATTATTCAAATTTGCCTTAGTTTTTCGATTTCTCCTTATCTCCTAATTTATTTATTGCTATACGATACCGAAACATGCTACGGAATATTTTGGGCAATTATAAGACGGTAGATACCACGGCTGATAGAAAAATAGTTTTCTGTAATGTCGAGTTAGTTACATAGATCGTTTGAAAACATACAATTGATAATTATTTTAACAAGAAGTAGATAGAAGAAATAGTTAAATGTAAGTAGAAAGAAGATTGAATTTATTTTAATGTAAAAATTTAAATTGAAGTATTTCAATATCGATGAAGAAAAGAATCAGCTAGTTTAGGGCTTAGCCAGCTCTAACTTTTGGACTTGCTTAAATATAGTCATACATTGCCCAAATTGAAATATTTTTTCTCTCAAGAGCATAATTTGTGCTTATAAATTGAACACGCTTTTGAGAAAAGTCTGATATATGCAACGAAAATTATGTCATTTTGCTAACTACTTAAAAAAGGATCTGAGTATAATTGGAATCGCAAACACAATAATTATGCTTACCACATCCCAAATATTGCAACCGACCTGATGGTCCTCTGAATGCCACTGTATCGCCTATTTTTAGGGACTCCAGATACTGTGACATTTTGCCACCATCCGGAAACTTGGGATGAACATTCTTGAAATAAACTTTGATTACCAAATCTACGTATCCTAAATCATCATCACTTGAAATAGGTGTATATGGTCGTATTATTATCTCATTATTTATGGTTGCAATCAAATGAACATGCTGCCCAACTGGTAAACCTAGAATATGATTTGGCGATGGCAATCCAAAACGAAACCGTCTTGTATCATGACTTAATGTTTCACTTTCAATTAGTGGTAATATATATTTGTCGTTTGGATCTTGTAAAGTTTTCCACTGTTTCAATTTGTTTTCAAAACTAGTATTATTCGACTTTCTTTTAAAAAAAAAATGAACGAAAATGGCTCCAATTATTACAGTTGCAACTCCAACAGTGACTGGGATAACCTGAAAAAATATCGAATGATAAAATAATATAAATATCAAAAGTGCATCAAAATTAAATATATTTAATAAACCGTTCATAAATTTAATAAACTTAATAAATTTTTAAAGTTAATTGGTAAAAGATTGTTTCTATATTGTGTACACTCAACTGTTTGGGTATATACACTACATATGACAAATGAATATACCTACTTATGTATGTATAAAACATATATAACATTATGTATGTATATAGCAATACATTATTTTTATTTCCCTTTAATTATTCAAAATATAGAAATTTATAATATAATATAATCATTATGTATAAACAATACAATATATCTCTTAAATTTTTTATACATGATTGCAAGATTGTAAAAAAGCAATAACGGAAGTAAAAACATGAAAAGTTTGAAGAGGATACATTTGGCGTCGATAAATATAAGGTCTCCAAGAATTTACCTATTTTTTTCTATTTCATATGAACATAAGTGTTTAGCTACCTATGGCTTTGTTCTATGTTCGACATATGTACATATTTGGAATTTAGTTTTTACATAACAATATAATTTTGATCAAACTACCTTCTAGTCACATGATACAAAAGAATCACAATACAGATATGCACATAGTTAGTATTTTAGATAGTTTAATTTAAGATTATGTTTATGGTTCCTTTGAATATTTCCGAAAATTCATACAAGAGCCGCAATGCTCTATCGAATAATTTTGAAACTAAAATTTGTTTAATTATTTGAACGTTTTCAGGTAGGTTGTAAAATATAATTAAAACATACTTACGTCAATTGTATTCATTTTATGAACTAATGCAAATATACATATATTAAAAATGGCAGGTTTTGTAAAAGTACAAGCTTTCAATTAGTTATTCACTTAAATACTAAATTATTAGTTAATAGTTATCTTGAACCTTTAAAGTTCAATATGATCGAAGACATCATTGAAAAATATTTATGTGTAAATGTTTGTATGTATCTACATGCCATCGGTAACATTCAAAAAGTAGGTATAAGTAGATAACATACCACCTACTTATTTTTACATACACATATGAAAATTTTTTTTAAACTTTCAAAAGATATCACAAAACAATGAAAACAAAACTGTTAGGTATAGATGGCACAATTTCATCAAAACCATAGTAGCCAAAAAATATACATATACTGTTGTAAACATTTAAAATCTCACCTTCTCTCTTTTTTTTTTGGAAGGTAGAAAAGTAGAAGGGGAATGTAACAATATACACATATTTATTTACTTTTATAGGGCTACAATGTATGTATGTATCTATAAACATACAAAACGAACAGATTTGACTTATGTTTTCAATACACAGTTGCAAATTTAAAGATAATAACCATTAGTTTCCCTTTTCTATTTGTTTGATAACGATTTAAGTCATAACATACAAAAAATTAACGCATACCGTGTGAGATTGATAATACATATTGAAATACTTATATGCTTATGTATATAATGTACTTTTAAAGTTAAATTTAACGTCGCTTCAAAATCTCAATTTTGAAATCAAGCTTTTAACGATTATGTAATTTAGTTCTTTTCAAAAAATTTATAAATATTTTCAAAAATTTGTATACATAACATGTGGCTATATTTTTTAAAATTAAAAAGTAAAATTTCCAAAATTAGTTAAATAAGTTTAATGATATAAACACACGATTTAGAGTAACTGATTATTTTATACATCTAATCTGAACAACTTTAGAATTCAATTGGTTAAATCTAATTTGATTTATTATAATTTTCAATGACATTTATATTAGACACAAGTTATAGAAAATATTCTGTCAGATTCCATCGTAACCACTGAGTTGACATGACAACTTGTGACGTGAGCTGATTCAGTAGAGTGGTATACCTTATTTCAAGTTGGAAACAGACGAAAGTGATTTTCCGCGGCGAAATGTCAGAATTCATATAAAATACACATATATAAAAAGAACCGGGCAGAATAAAAAGAAGTAAATGGTATAAATTTCCTTTTAACCACTAGCCGTAAAGGTGAATTAATTGGTTTGGCAGTTTACATGTGAGCTATTTAAAGTCGAACTATTTTTTCTCTCAATTATTCATTGATTCGTCTGAAAAAAGCTGAGCTGTTCCTTTTTTTCGACATTTGTTTGACAATTTTTTTGACAAAAATTGTATGTGTTGTAGATATAAAATTATAAAACTCATAAAAACACATAAAAACAATAGGAGTGTAAAAATATTTTTAAACATAATGGATGAGAATATAATGATTATGCAGTTAATTTAATTAAGGCGCTGGCAGAATTATGTTTATATTACCTAAAAATCAAAAAAAAGGTAATTGGAACCAAAAGGTTTGGGGTCAGACCTATTTTAAAGGAAAGATTGATCAAGATATTTTATAATAATCTGGTTTAGAAGACAAGGCTAAGATATCAAAAAGCCTTTATAAATTTCCATCGTATGAACAAAAAATGTTCAATAAATTGTTGAGCATTATAGGGCCACGACTTAAAAATATATGGTTTGTTTATTATGGTTCATATTGTAGAATTTATTTAATTTTTTCCACTATTGTTTCTTCTTTTATTTTTATTGTCTTTACAGTTGAAGCATTTACTTTTCTTTATTACAAAGCGATCTTCACAATTTTCGGAGACGATGTCTTTATTTTAGAACCTTTTTCCGCAAACTGCCAACTTTGAGAGCCAAAAACAATGCTTTACAAGTGTGGGAGACCGTTAAAATGTTTAAGAGAAATATAGAGAATGGAATAAGGAACACTTTTTTATCAAAACATTATATTCGAAATTTTGTAATTTAGAACGTTATTCGCGCCACATTCAATTGTAAAATAAATATTTTTAATATTTCATACCTTCAGTTTCTGCTTTAACGTTCAAATTTAAATTTTACTCCACTTTTCAGAGTTTTTAACTGACGTTTTACAAAAACCTCTGCACGGAAGTTGAATTCGATTCAACTTTTTGAGAGAAAAACACGCTGTTCTAAAAATAAAGAGAATATCAAAAATTCAAATTTTCATTTTAATATCTTTATATCTAACAAGTCCCAATACTCAATTTTTTTTACGAAATATTACGAATTTTTGGCTTCGTTCCTGTTTTTTTCTTTAAATCAGTGTTCCCACTTGGTAAAAACAAAATGTGTCCAATTTCAAGGAAAAAATGTATCAATAATGTATCCAACCTCATAAAGTAGAATTTTTATACCAATTTTTATACTATTGTTGGTTTTTTTATTTATAGTAAATTCTTTAAGAAATCACATACAACTTCTATTATATTTTAAATGTGAAAGTTAAGGTCAGAAAAAACATATGCATATATGCCTTCTGTAGTAGTTGAATTATGTGCTAAAGACAATTCACCACTAAAACGGAAAAATTTTAAAAAATATGTACAGCCAATGCATTTTCTATTACAACTAGCTTACACCAAGATATTTCTGGTACGTTCTTGTCTAAATGTTCTAGATTTGAATACAGGAAGAGGCAGTACTCATTTAATAAAGCAGATTTCTTACTTTCTTCTAGTAAACTCGGAAATCTGTTTAGAAATGCCAGCAAATAACACTTTTTAAAGATAAAGCAATTTCGCGTTTTAATAATAGCAGCAATTTACAGTTTTGTAACATTTATTTAGTGTTTGAGAGCCAATCTCGGCATTTTAGCAAATTTGAGTATCTTTGTATCCAAGTTAAATTTAAAGCAAAAAATGTATCCAAATGGATACAATTGTATCCAAGTGGGAACGCTGCTTTAAATGCTACTGATCGTGTCATATTTCTTATTATTTCTTTCTTTTTTTTACGTAAAAAAGAGTTTAATATTTTAAAAAATCTCAGGATATTATACACATTTTTTAAAAAGCTTCCCATTTAAATTTTATTGCACAAAAAAGAAAGAAAGGTAGGAGGAAAAAAAATGATAAAATATTTCAAACTCATATTTTATAATGGTTTCAAATGTTAATGAGGAAGGATGTATAATTTTTCATGTATATTTTGTATTTCCCAATAAGGTAAGTTGAGTAGTGTCGGCTAAAAAAAATGTAAATAAAAGTAATATAGGTTGACACATTTCACCAATTTGAATTATCTCAAATTAAAAACTTAATATATTAAGTTTTAAAAAATTTTCTCACAAATAGAGGTAAAATTTAGAAGTGTATAAAAAATTTGTATTTAAAAAATAATATTTGATTGTATTTTAGATATTGTTTTCTAATTCCCTCTTCAAATTTTTTCTTTACTATGTATTTATATCAATATTTAATAATTATCTTTCATTAATTATATTTTCAACTTGACACTTAAGTTACTTCCTATATCTTGATTTAACTTACCCTATGAGAAAAAAAAGCTGTTCACTTAAAAATAATGAAATGCTTTCAGTAACATATAAAACGTTGAAAGCGAAGGTTTTGCTTATTGTTTTTCCGCTGTTTCAAGAATTTTAAAATAATTATGAATGAAAATATTAATATATTTTTTTGAAATTAAAAATATTAATATATTTTTAATTTTTTCTCAAAAAATAGCCACTTCGATTTAAAAAAACCCATATAAAATAAGGTCGTGTTTTCAAGTTTCTCTCTGAGCATTGGGACTTGTTAGATATAAAGACATTATTCATACAAAACACATCAGCTTGTTACGAAAGCGACGAACCCTAAATAGTATAAATTTCTGTTTAACCGCTAGCGGGCTTTTTTGACATTATCTATGTCACATATGCGTGTGATATTGGGGGTATTTACACTAGTATGCATGCATCGTATGCACAACACTTCTTTTATACTTCTCACACCCTCTCTTCCACAAAAATTTTTTTTTTCTGTATGCACGGTATGCACGAAAAACCGGTTTTTGCATCAAGAATCTTATGTGCGCAACGCTCATTACTCACAAATACATAGAAAATGTAAAATAAAATTTTTTTTTTCGGTTGAAAAAATTTTGCGCATGTTTTTAAGTTTATTCTTGTTTCAAAAATCAAAGGAAAATAATATGGTGAATTTACACCACCACCAACAACATACCACCAATTACAAAATGGAAAAAACATTAGAGCATTTAATAAATATTATTTAACATACTTAGTTAGAAAGTGTAAGTGTCATAAAAATTATAAAGTTTTTAATTGATATTTAATAATTATAATATTCTAATAAGCTTTAAAATGGATACATGGAGAAAAGATCAAACTTTAATGTTGATTGAAGAATTAAAAAAACATCTTATACTATATGATCCATTAAATAAATATTTTACAAATAGAACAAGGAGAAATATGGCTTATACTGCTATGGTAGAAGCACTAAAAAATTTCAGGGAAGAAGTTACTATAGCACAATTTTCGTCCATAAAACTTTTTTGTCCTAAAATGTAATTTCAAGTAATTAAAATATAAATGCCTCTATAATACTATTACATTAATATTAACATCGTTTTAAATTTAACAAACTTACCTACCTTCAAAGCAATCTTTAAAATTAAAATCACAAACAATACACAATAATTGGTTTGAAATTTTCACTGCCCGCTATTTTACTTTTGATGTTACCTCTTTGATATTCGCTTTTATTTTGAAATATTTTTTTTAGAGGTAGTAAATAGGTAGTATGCGATTATAGTTGATGGTCTCCAGTTACATCAACCCAGCCTCTGCTATTCTAGCGCCAGTTCTCACCTTCAAGTGGTCTACCCTGTTAAGCTGAGAAACCTAAATGAAAGATGTGGTAACCAATCCATGTGGTGTAGTTTGGGTCAGTGAACAAACGAGAATGGCGGGACGCAAGACGCGTCTGTACTCAGAATGAGCGGCGTCTTGGTTGGAGCCGGTATTCCAGGTTGACGGCCAAATATAGAAAAGAAGAGGAGTTACTTCTAAAAACTAAAATTAGAAAAATGCAATGGAAAAAACTAAAAGGTATAATACCCCAGATGGTAATTCATTTAAGATGAAAAATCCATCCTCAAAAGAGGCCGATCCCACGAATTCTGGGGGGGATCAACTATTGCAGGATTCAGATTCGTCAATGCAGGTGGTAGTGTCCCAGGCCACGGTATTGAATAAAGCTACTGGACAAAAAAATGAAATATGCAGTCCTTTCACAGTCTCAAGTAAAACTAGACGGTCACCACCTCGTAGTACGTCATTAACAAATCTAAATGAGTCAGACAGTGAAAAACCGCTGAACGTACATCAACAAAGGGTAATGCGACTCATGATGGTGGATAGCAGTGCACAGTCACTGAAAAGAAAAAAAATATCTTCAGAATGAAACTTCCCTGAATTGCAAGAAGTTGCTAGCTATAAAAAAATAGGACACAAAGTACGTAGTGAATATGAAACAAAAAAAATCTGATGTGGTCAGCACATAACCGACCGCAATGTGTATTGTCTAGTTAAGTGAAAGTGTTACTGAATATTATAAAAATGTCTGTTAAATACTTCTTTCCAATTTTTAGGACATAAGTAAGCTTATAGTTAACATACCTAGAAAAATGTAAATTTGGCTCTTAGTAGAGTTTTTCTTTGTGCTACAGTTAGTTACGGTAACAACCAGAACTCAAATATCAAATTTCAAGAAACTCCATCAATTCGTTCCGTAGATTTGGTGAAAAATGTAAAATCGGCCCGCAGATCAGTTTTCGAGCCCTGATCTTTCCAAAAAATTTACATGTTCAT